TCATTGTTGTTTGGCAGATTCAAACCTACCACTTTAGCCACAAGCGCTGAGCCACCATTTGTGTTTTAAATAACTAGGGACATAAATAAAACAAAAAGATAATAATGAAAAGGGAATCAGAGAACAGGAATGACCATGAGAATATTTTTCTTTCACATTTTGGACCATGTACATGACTACCTAACTAAAAAATAGTTGGTTTTCATTTTTAGCAGACATTTCAAAGCTAACTTACCAAATTCCTGCTGCGATGAACGTAGCGGTGGTGATGGGGATCAGTGCTGGGTACCTGACATCATATTCTCCAATCCCGCGGTACCATTCCAGGTACATGACACAGTAAGACGCAATCGACAAACTGACAAGCAGCAAAGCACTGCCCAAGAGAAACCAACTGTGCAGGCAAAAAGAACATAGGGGCTATTTATGTAAACCTTAGCAAATCAGCTGACACTGAAACATTCCATCTACAGCTCCACATCAACTCTGAGGATTACAGAGGGAAACGTAGTGACAGCCATGGCTTGCAGGAAGCTGCTGTCTGTGGGAGATGGGGTAAGAAAACATGACATTTAGTAAGGTGCTAAAGAATACTTTCATAACCAGGCAACGAAGAGCCCTGCTTACAGCCAGGCATTTCCTTTAAAAATATAGGAAAGACAGCAGCTTTCTCGTTTCTGACATTCTAAATGTGAGAGTAATCAAGAACATTCTCATCTGGTACCATTCACTCCTCCAAGTTGAGTATCCTGGAATACTGAAAATCAATCTGGAAAACAATTAACTCAAATTCTCTCTCAAAAAGATTTCTAAATGAAACTCTCCCATTTTCAGAATCTCTCCTATCCTCTCTCACAGGACACCTTTTTGTTCCAACTCCTCCTATAAACTCTTCCAGTCTTGCACAGATTTAAAGAACCCTAATGCCTCAAGATTAGGCCAAAGCAGGGAAATGAGAAATTACCTCAGGTATTAGAGGAATGAGCATTTTCAAAAAGGAGAACTCAGTCTCTGTTTCCTTCTATGCATCCTTCTCCTTCCATAGCTGCTCAAACCCCTGCCTCAATGGGTCCCTCACCAAGAATACAAATGGGCCTTGGGGTATGCATTTATGTCTTTTTTTCCCTCTACAACACTTTTTTGACAATTGGTCTATGAATTCTACTTCCTTCCCATCCCCCACAGCACTGGTTCCTCCCAGCACCCGTGTCTAGCTCTGCCACACGACAGCTGTTGGTCCTGGGCACCTGTCTTCCTCCTGTGGCTGCCCTAAACATCTTACATGTGTAAGATGTGATCATTTCTTACCCTGTTGTTTCTTTAAACTACTGAGAATACTTACTATGTGGACACAAATAGAGAAGTCCTGCTATGTCTTCTTAAACCTCTAAAGGTCTGCATTTCTGAGGTTGAGCAGGACCAGGGACCCCTCCCAGGTGCTCCTGTAATACCTGTGCCCACACTTACCGAGCACACACCACAAGGCCAGGTAACCTGTCTGCTGTGGCCTAGAGAGAGCTGCTGGAGGGCTAGAAATGCTTCAACTTGTCACTGGCACCCACAGGCAAACACATCTCAGGCTCTCACAAAAATATTTGATAGGCTCGGCGCCTATAGCTCGACCGGCTAAGGCGCCAGCCACATACACCTAAGGTGGCGGGTTCGAATCCCCAGCCCAGGCCCGCCAAACAACGAATCCCCAGCCCGGACCCGCCAAACAACAATGACGGCTGCAACCAAAAAATAGCCGGGCGTTGTGGCGGGCGCCTGTAGTCCCAGCTACTTGGGAGGCAGAGGCAGGAGACTCGCTTAAGCCCAGGAGTTGGAAGTTGCTGTGAGCTGTAATGCCACAGCACTCTACCCAGGGGGACAGCTTGAGGCTCTGTCTCAAAAAAAAAAAAAAAAAAAAAAATTTGATAAATGAGGGAGAAGCTGCTGCTGGTCGTGTGTGAAGGACCCACCCCTATTTTGCCAGCCCAACAAAGCAAGATGGAGGAGTCGCACTAATGTAGAGGAAATACAGCTTCACCACCAACACAGTGTAGGAAGCAGTGACAAAGCGCTTCCTAATACTAAAACTCAGAAACAGACTGACTTACTCACTGGGTTCCATGTAAATGAAGACCTAGAAACCTCCTGCCAGAGCCTCCCCCATAAAATGACTATGCAGCAAAGCAGAGCAAAATCATTGCTTCCTGTGGGCAACTCACTCCCAAAGGAAGAAGGCATTGAGCCACATATGTCCAGTTCTTCATCTCACATTCAAGTAAGTCAGAGAAGAAGTGGGTGAGATGAAAGGGCCTGCCAGGTGCTATGGCTCATGCCTGTAATCCTAGCACTCTAGGAGGCAGAGATGGGAGGATTCCTGGAGCTCAGGAGTCTGAGACCAGCCTAAGCAAGAGCAAGACCCTGTCTCTAGTAAAACTAGAAAAATTAGCTGTGTGTTGTGGGGGCACCAGTAGCCCTAGCTACTCAGGAGGCTGAGGCAGGAGGATCATTTGAACCCAGGAATTTGAAGTTGCTATCAGCTATGATGCTATAGCATTCTAGCCTGGGCAGCAGACACACATGCTGCCTCAAAAAAAAAAAGAAAAGGAAAGGGCAGAAGATGGAGTGTTTAGGCAAAGTCCCTACTCATGGAAATCAGAAAGGACAGGACAAGCTTTCTGCCCCTCACTGTTAAAATAAACACCCTCTGCCTACTATCCCCAGACTGCTCACTCCCTCTAGCTCTTTGGAACGTCGCTGCTTCTCCTGAAAGTCATCTGCATCTTCCTAGCCCCACTGGCACTTGCAAATTACTGTTGTTGGCCCCTTAGCAAACGCTTGCTCTGATGCTCACCAACATCCCTCCTTTTTGTCAATTATCTGGGGAGTGGGGTGTGTGTGTCTCATCACTCTCCAAAATGCAGTGAGGACATTAGGATATGATTCACAAGCTTCTCCAAGTCAACTACAGAGCCCGCACTGAAAGGATCTCAGTCCCTGTAAATGAGGAACTATTTGATACTGGCCAACCCACAAAGCTCTGACTCCTCCCACTGGTGACTTTCACCTTAGCCAATTCAGCCACACCCTGTAGTCATTGCTGCGCTATAACCACTCCCTGAAAAAACCCCAAGGCAGGACTCTCTCTAGCCTCTGGCCAACATTCCCACTCCCTCCCCAGTACCCCTGCATTTGGTCTTCATAAAGACCTCCCTCCACTGTGTTCCAAATAGATTAGGTTCTTCTTAAATTCACTAACCTTCACATCCTACAACACATTTATGCTGAGAAGGCACTGTAAGATAATTTCAGTTCCCATGAGCCCTGCTCCAGGCACACACATCCTCTTAGTCGTCTTTTTTTTCCTAGCTTGACTGACACGGACATTCAAGGTGTACAAGGTGATGGTTTGGTACGTGTATATATACTATGAAACAGTTACTACAATCAAGTTTTTTTTTTTTTTGCCAGGGCTGGGTTTGAACCCACCATCTCCGGCATATGGGGCCGGTACCCTACTCCTTCGAGCCACAGACGCCGCCCACAATCAAGTTAATTTACACATCACTTCACATAGTTACCACTTGTTTGGGGTATGTGTGTGTGTGTTTGTGTGTCTATGTACAGCAAGGACACTTAAGATCTATTCTCTTGGCTCGGCGCCTGTGGCTCAAGCGGCTAAGGCGCCAGCCACATACACCTAAGGTGGCAGGTTCGAATCCCCAGCCCAGGCCCGCCAAACAACGATGGCTGCAACCAAAAAATGGCCAGGCGTTGTGGTGGGCGCCTGTAGTCCCAGCTACTTGGGAGGCTGAGGCAGGAGACTCGCTTGAGCCCAGGAGTTGGAGGTTGCTGTGAGCTGTAATGCCATGGCACTCTACCCAGGGGGATACCTTGAGGCTCCGTCTCAAAAAAAAAGAAAAAAAGATCTATTCTCTTAGCAAATTTCAAGTATATAATACAGCATTATTAGCTACAGTCACCATGAATTAGATCCCTAAAACTTATTCATCCTTTTTTTCCCTTTAAAAGAGACCAGGTGTCTGTCACCTAGGCTGGAATGCAGTGACATAGGTCACCATAGCCTTAAACTTTTGGATTCATGTGATCCTGCTGCTTCAGACTCCCAAGTAGCTGGGACTACTGGTATGCATCACCATACCCAGGTAATTTTTTTTTTTTAATTTTCTATGGATACCAGGTCTCACCCTGTTGCCCAGGCTGGTCTTAAAACTCTTGCTTTCAAGTGACCCTCCTACCTTGGCTTCCCAAAGTCCTGGTATTACAGGTATGAGACACCATGCCCAGCCCTCTTCACCCTATAATTGAACATTACCCTTTGACCAATATGTTTCATTCATCTGTGCATCCCTCCAACGTGGGACCTGGCAGAGAGTAGGTGCTCTATGGGTTTGAATAACTCAACTGACAGAGTACAACATGAAAAATTAGATAAGGGTTTAATTTACAAAGCAATAAAGTTTTCTTACCTACTAGTGTGAAAGTTTTCTTTAAGGGTTTTAAAGAAATCCACATAATAGGTCACGGCAATGGATGCCAGAATCCAGAATCCAGAATGGATATTAAGTCTTGGAAGAGGTTTCTCATTTTTCTCAACAGCTGTGGAGGTTTCTGCAAAGAAATGAGATTCAACTTATTAAGTTACCATAATTTTGTGAGGGAAAAATTAAACCTATTTTAAGCCAAATAAAATCATTTCCTAGAAAAAGTCTTTCCCTTCATAGCACCAAATCCTTCTGTGAAGCCATCAAGATAAATTTATATTTACAGAAATAATAGAAGCCCACTATAAAATATGTTCAATATAGTCAACTATTTCCTCTAAATGAATTCTGAAATCAAATTTACATTTTCTTAGTCTATAAGAAATACTCATGCCACCTGAAGTATAGGAATTTTAATATTCTATTTCACATTTCTTCTAGGAAAGTAGTCCTATTAAGAAAAATGCCAAAAGCAAACATTACAGCATGAAATGGACTTGTGCTCTTTCAATAACACTTTTTATAATAAATATTTTAACCTTTTCAGGCAGCTTAAGTGTAAAGGGCACTCCAGAGCCCTAATCCCAGCACAGTACTGTCTATATAGATGATAGACAAGTCATTTTTCCTATGTGGGACCCAATCAGAAAGAATGAGGTTGGGACAGATGAGTGACTTCTAACAAGTTCCCCCAAATCTGACTTGCTAAGTTCACATGAGAAACACTGGTCTACATCTGGGGTTCTGGGCTTTTAGATGACCACCAGAAACCCTAGGGAACTTGTTCATAATGTAGATTATTAGAAATATCTTCAAAGTTTATAAATCATCATGCTTGGGCACAATGTTATTTGTGTTTATTTTGTTAACAATGTACAGAACATAAAGACCTCAAATCTCTCTCATCCTTAACCATAGTTTCAAGATCCAGAAGCCACCAGCACTGTCAATTTCTACTGAATTCTTCCATATTGTGTACACCCACAGTTGCACACATAACACACAGGTAATGCTTTGTACTCAAATGCTGGCATACCATACATTGTCATAAGCCTCCCTTTGACAATCATCCCAAATGGTATATAAAAGTCTCTCTGGTATGTCATGTATAGATATATCCAAATTTATTCAACCAGCTTCCTGCTGACCAGCAATTAGGTATTTCCAGTCATTCGCTATTACAAACGATGCTGAAGTGTAACCCTATGTAAGCTTTGTGTATTGTGATACAAATACTGTATATATTTTTTCGTTTTTCTTTTTCTTTTTCTTTTTTTTTTTTTTTTTTGAGACAGGGCCTCACTCTGTCGCCCAGGCTGGTGTACAGAGGCCTCATCACAGCTCACTGCAATCTCAAACTCCTGGGCTCATGCGATCTCCCTGCCTCAGACTCCAGAGCAGCTGCTACTACAGGCGCGAACTATCATACCCAGCTAATTCTTTCTCTTTTTTTGGAGACCGAGTCTCCCTTTTGCTCAAGCTAATCTCCAACTCATGACCTTAAGCGATCCTCCCGCCTCGGCCTCCCAAAGTACTTGGGTTACAGGCATGAGGCACTGTGCTGGGCCAAATTTTCAAGCACTACAACTGGCGCGTCTTTTTAATTTAACGGATATTTCCAAAAGTTGTTAAACTAGCTCTCCAGGGAAACGCAGCTGAGGTGAAGATGCGCAGAACTATGCGACCTCTAGGGATCTTTCATGACAATAAATATCCGATTTCCAAACTACTTGTTGAGACTTGAAAAACGAAAACTCCGTTCCTCTAGACAGGGCTGGGGCTGGGCTGGGCTGGGCTGGGCTGCGGGAGGCCCGGGAGGCGGGCGTTTTCGGGCGCCTCGACTCTAGGGGCCGCGGCGAGGCTTGGAGCACGCCCGGGGAGAGCGCCTCACCCGGCCTGGCGTCGTCCTCGCCATCCAGCGGGGCCTCGGCGTCAGGAGGGAGCAGGAACCGCCGCCGGAGCTGCTCCCGCGCCCGTGAAGCGTCCATCTTGGCGTCGGCCGGAAAAGCGACGGAAGTGACGCCCAAAGCGGAACGTCCGGCGTCGGCCGCGGGGCGGGGCCTCTTGGCGCGGAGACTCTAACAGCCGTCGCGATTTTTGTAGGTAAAAAGTAAGGGCGGGTTTGTTGGGACAGAGTGTGGGTTCTGCTCTGGAATCTGCAAGCGTGATTTGAATTTTAAAATACTGAACTTTCCCGGCCGAAAGATGCCATGTTTATTTCTACCTGGAAGCCAGGAAGGGTTAGATCGCTGCTGGAGCTGGACGCGTGCCTGCGCGGGAAGCGCGGCGTGGAAACTCGGTTTTCCGGGCCTTCCCAGGCTCCATCCAGGCCTCGACCCTCAGCCTCGAGCTCCGTTTCTCCTCCTATCTTCAGGATCCTCCCGGCCAGGCTTAGAAGGGTGGAAGGCAGCTCCAGGATGAGGAAAGGACCGCTAGACTGGACGACCGGGTGTGGCACTGACCACTTGGGGGCCCCTGGGCATGAAGTAAACCTGTCGGGGCTTGTTTCCTCTTCTGCTCAACTGGGGTGATACCTGTCTCGAGATTCATTGTCTTCTGCGCAACTGAGATGATACTCGTCTCAAGATTCATTGTTGGGTTAAGTGAGGAGCACCCCATGTGGGTCATGTGAATCCACTTCTCTCCACTTGTGAAATACTGTCCCAGCCTGGAGTGTGGGAACTAAATTATTTTCCTAGCAAACTGTCGTTTCTCACCACTTAAGCCCATAAACCATGTGTCGCTAGTTAGCAGCTTTCGTTCCATCAATACTCCTGTTTATTATCTTCCCACCCCTTCCCTAGCCTAATCATGTGCTGAGAAATTTTGTGCTTACCCGCTCAAACTGTTTACTGTTTTCGGCTTGGCGCCTGTGGCTCAAGCGGCTAAGGCGCCAGCCACATACACCTAAGGTGGCGGGTTCGAATCCCCAGCCCTGGCCTGCCAAACAATGATGGCTGCAACCAAAAAAAAAAAAAAAAAATGGCCAGGCGTTGTGGCGGACGCTTGTGGTCCCAGCTACTTGGGAGGCTGAGGCAGGAGACTTGCTTGAGCCCAGGAGTTGGAGGTTGCTGTGAGCGTGATGCCATGGCACTCTACCCAGGGGGACAGCTTGAGGCTCCGTCTCAGAAAAAAAAAAACAAAAAACTGTTTACTGTTTTCAACACAGTATCATAATAGGAATACTGTACATGGGGCTATGAGAGTACCCAGTAAAGGGCAGTTTATACTGTTGGGGGATGTGGAGAAACAGGGAAAGTGGTGGATTGATCGCCCAGAAAACCACACGGGAAGTAAAATGTGAATTACCTAGTAGGCACTCTTTAGAATCTCTATGTCATGGGTATTTATAAAAGGACTGTAACAAGAAATATTCAAGAATGTCAAGTTTCTACTGATTTATTTCTGTCATTTCTTTCTCCACCCATTAGAGCAATGAATTTAACAGCTGGGTGGATCATGTGGCCTTTCTTAACAATACCTCCCTATTCCTGTTCTTTTTTTTTTTTTTTCTATGTAGACTCCTGAAGAACTGGAATTCATTTCTTCAAAGCTAACTAGGGTCTTTTCCCTGCCTCCTCTATCATACATGGTTAGAAGCCTTGTTAACATGAAGTCAAATTGTCCCATCAAATACAGTCTTCTGTCCATTGTGTCCTCAAAAAGGGTCAGTGCAGGGTCTCCTTTGTAACTGAATATTCCCAGGAGCATCACAGCAATTCCAGGGTTTCCATTTGTGGTATTTTTGAGTTGGATCAGATTTCCCTTTTGGTGATTTCAGGGCCTTTGTATTTGGATCTGAACTCCTTTCAGGGTTTTTTTCTCTGATAAATGGCACTACTTGCACACCGTACTGATGATACTTAAAAGCAGGTTGGAAAATTTCCAGGATTTAATGACCACATCTTCATTGTTGGGGTCTGTTAAATAAGTTCTTCAGTGTGTGTACTGTAGCACCTTAATTACATGATATCAGATTGCTACCAATGAAGAAATTTTCATTTTTAATGTGGATTACTTACGGGGAAAAGTGAATTTAACTATGACTTTGTTTCCCTCCCCTTAGTAACATGGTAAAAGTAAAAGGTGTTTATACACTATTGAACTCTGGCTCCATTACTGTGGGTCCTTGGGAGAATTATTTCATTATTCTAAGTGACCATTTCCTCATCTGTGAAACAACAGGTACCAGAAGCAAGGCAGATGCATATAGATTGCACAGTTTAGTGCCTGGTATTTGAACAGTGGTAGTTAACTATTCCCTACTCCTTAATTTGGCTTTCCAGCCTTCAAGTTCAGGTACCTGCTCACCTCTTGATTAGTATTCCCTTGTCCTTGGGCTTCAGCTACTCTGTGTTCGTGTCTCTCTGCCAAGAATTATCAAGCTTTATTGTAATTTTTCCTTTGCCTGTGTTTTCCTCAGCTGATTGGGGGAAAACAACCATGTCTTAGCAGCTCCCCAGTTCCTTGCAAACACTGGGCACGTAGCAGGATCTACATTATCCATTCTTTGGTTCTTGATCATAGCTAATGGGTCTTCATTACAGACAAATAGGCATCAGCCTAGCATTCCTTTCTCTAAGAAACCATTTTCGTCCTTTTTTGGAGTGGTCATGCTCAGTTCTCAGGACACAAACACGGTCCTAGGGGAGGGCACATTACCTAAACCAGACCTCTCAGTTCTTGGGATTTAGGCTGGGATTATTTGTTGCTTTGGTATAGTGAGCTGTGAGTTCAGTGTGTGCTTGGGTTTGCATTCTGGAAACCATATGGGGGAGCCCACCTAGGAAGAAAGCTCTGAGAGGCCAGCGAAAATGTAGCATTGTTCCAACTCGAGGACTCAGCCAAGCCCTAATTAACCCAGTAGAGAACCTGAACTCTGGAACCAGCTGCCTGGCTGGCTATCATTACTAGCTGTTTCAACTTTGGGCAAGCCTCTTACTCTCTTTGCCCTAGTTTCCTCACTTGCAAAATGAGGTTAAGGATTATACTTAACCTCACAATATTAAGTAAAGATTAAATGTATTAATACATGCAAAGTGCTTAGAACAGTGCCTGGACCCTGGAAAGCTCTTAGTGAATCTTAGCTGTTGTTATTATTCATTGCTAAGACTTCCCAGATCTTTTAATTTTCCTTTTGTTTTTTAACTAATTTTGATTTGTTTTATATTACTTATAACCCCAAGCCCAGACCAGTGCAGGGTTCTCACTATGCCACAGAGCCACCTTCTTGTTCCCCAGCTGTTCTGTGAGTGCCTCCAAAAATGAGTTAATGCATGTAAAGCTATTTAAAAACTTAGCATGTGGAAAGTGCTCAGTAAGTGCTAATATATATCACTGAGCATTGCCCTTCATTCCAAGAAGCTAGTCTGAAAAAAAAAAAAAAAATAGATTCTTGGCCAGGCACAGTGGCTCAGGCGTATAATCTTAGCACTTCAGGAGTCCAACATGGGAGGATCACTTGAAGCCAGGAGTTTGAGACCAGCCTAAGCATGAGCAAGACCCTGTCTCTACTAAAAGTAGAAAAATTAGCTGGGCATGGTGATGGGTGACTGTAGTCCCAGCTGCTTGGGAGGCTAGGTGAGAGGATCACTTGATCCTAGGAGTTTGAGGTTGCTATGAGCTATGATGGTGCCACTGCACTGTAGCCTTGGTGACAGAGTGAGACTCTGTCTCAAAAACAAAAAAAAAGGTGTTCCCACTCATATAAAAATGCAATTAAGTTTGTTCCTCTCTTTCTACATAGCCCTCATTATTTCCCTAATAAAAGCAGTGCCTGTAGCTCAGTGGGTAGGGCGCTGGCCACATACATCGAGGCTGGCAGTTTGAACTCAACCTGCGCCAGCTAAAACAACAATGACAACTGCAACAACAAAATAGCCAGGTATCGTGGGTGCCTGTAGTCCCAGCTGCTTGGGAGGCTGAGGCAAGAGAATGGCTTAGGTCTAAGAATTTGAAGTTGCTATGAGCTATGACACAATGGCACTCTACCCAGGGCAATAGATTGAGACTCTTTCTCAAAAAAAAGAAAGCTATAACATTGGAATTGCTATGTCAAAGATATGAATATCTCAAAGGCTTTTGATCAATATTTTTAAACAAGCTCCAGAAAGGGTTTACCATCCTACGGCTGGCCCTTGAACAACTTATGGGGTTGAACCCTCTGCATCATCAAAAATCCTCATAGAACTTTGAGGATAATCATCATATCGCTTTTTCTTTTCTTTTTTTTTTTTTTTTCAGTTTTTGGCTGGGGTCAGGTTTGAACCCACCACCTCCAGTATATGGGGTCGGTGCCTACTCCTTTGAGTCACAGGTGCCACCCCCTCATCTAACTTTTAATTCCTTAAAAACCTAATTGCCCATGGCCTACTGTTGGCCAGAAGCCTTATCAATAATATTAAACAATTAATACATATTTGTCTGTTATATGTATTATATATCATTACAATAAAGTAAGCTAGAGAAAAAAACATTAAGAAAATCATAAGAGGCTCAGCGCCTGTGGCTCAAATGTCTAAGGCGCCAGCCACATACACCTAAGGTGGCAGGTTCGAATCCAGCCTGGCCCGCCAAACAACAATGACAGCTGCAACCAAAAAATAGCCAGGCATTGTGGCGGGCGCCTGTGGTCCCAGCTACTTGGGAGGCTGAGGCAGGAGACTTCCTTGAGCCCAGAAGTTGGAGATTGCTGTGAGCTGTGATGCCACGGCACTCTACCCAGGGGGACAGCTTGAGGCTCTGTCTCAAAAAAAAAAAAAAAGAAAATCATAAGAAAGAAAAAATACATTGACTGTTCATTACATGGAAGTGGATCAACGTCCCTATTATCTTTGCATTGAGTGAGCTGGAGGAGGAAGAGGAGGAAGCATTGGTCCTGCTGTCTCAGGGCTCACAGAAGCAAAGAGAATTGTGCAAGTGGACTCGCACAGCTGAGACATGCATGGCTCAAGTTGACCATGCTTTACGTTCCCACCAGTAGTGGGTGGAAAAGCCATCTTCTACTGCACCAAAAA